TATATATATATATATATATATATATATATATACATATATGTATATATATTTCAACGTGCCCATGTCATTGAGAGTTAATAATCTGTCTTAAAGTAGCATGTTTTGTTATTTAAATTAAGAAGGATTTATTTGCCTCTTCAATAATCTTGAAAGAATTAAGAGTTCAAAACACTGATCTCTATTTATTACCTGGATTGCTGAGTGCCCATTAGTAGTACGGGGTTGAGGTGAAGCCACCGGTCGCCATATTGGTACTCCCTAGTTAGACCGGTCAGAATGTAAACAATCAGTGCGCTACAGCATCAAACAACCATGATGTTCTCATTTTCAGAGGTAACTAAGACTTTTAAAATAAAGATAAATTCATCACTGCGACACACACTGGCTGTTTCACAGCATCAGTAGATTAACTTTAACTTAGAATAAAAAAAAAAATAGGCCCATCACATTACATAGTCGTTATAAAGTCAATAAAGCCTATAAATCATGTAATATAACATGTTAGACAAATCCATCACAATAAAATGAATGTGTCAATAGAGAAGAATAATACAGATGAGCCAAAAGTGCTGAATTGATGATGCACAAGTAATATACATGTATTTATTACATTGCTATGATAATTATATCTTAAATATAATTTTTACATTTTGCATAAAGATTGAGTTACCAGTACATGTCTGGTAATGCTCTAGTATTTTCCTGCAGATTGTACATGCATGATGCCATATACTTTTATTCTCTATGCATTAACCTTTAAATCTGACAGATTTATAATAGAGCTAAATTAATGAACCAATTTAATAACTCCACAGAGCTTCAGCTTCTACACTAGTAAAATCTCATCTATTGGTAAAATAACAGGCAACTGAAAGTTGACATTTTGCTCTTTGCTCTTAGTTACAATAAGAATCTGATCATTTGAAAAAACTGTACATACGGGTATGTTTGCACACACTGTAACTGACAGTGAAATTAACCGTGAATCATCTTCCTTCAGCCACCAAACTGCTTGTTTTTGCAGCCAAATGCTTCACATGGAGGCATTTTTACTGCGCGTCTCCGTGGGAGCTGGGAGTACCAATATGGCGGACGGTAGCTTAACTATTTTCGGGCAATCAGCAATCAAACCTGTAACCATATTGAAACGTAAAACACGTTTTTTGCGCCATCTGCTGGTAGCATTGAAGACTGCAGTCGCTTGTTTATGACGCTCCTGACACGTGCCTTTGAAGCAGTGACCTCTTCTCTTTTGTAAACAGACGCTGGTTGTAATTTTTCATGTAAGTTTCCATTTTCCACCCCTGTAATGTATTTGTGATGTGATTATTTTATGTTGTGTTCTTTCCTGTCTGACTATAAAGGAGATAATTGAATAGTTTCAGTGATAAAGCTGACAGTGATGGCTGGGCATGCAGCCCTCAGATGTGACTTTTTGCTTAGACTGCTGACATCTTCCAGATCCATTCAGACTCTCCTCTGGAACAGAGCTGTGTTTGGGAGAAACGTTGAAAGTATTTGCAGCAGGACATTTTCCACCGCTTCAATAAGGTCTAATCAGGATGATGGACAGAGTTCAGACTCCATGCAGACACAAAGGCAGGCTCACCTGTTTAGGAGGAGGCGGTCCCTATCCCCCCTGGAGAGGATCAGCAGTCTGCTGCCTGAGGATGCACTGAGCCCAGAGGTGATGCAGCTGAGAGGTAAAGAGCAGCAAGAAGAGAGATGTGATCCTGTGATAGTCACTGAAGAGGACTGTCTGCAGACGCAGAGAGACCCTGATGCAGTAGAAGAGCCAAACGCTACAGGCTTTCAGCGTGCGGGGGGACAGGTGCACCCCTGTCTTTTAGGGGAGAGCTTGCTCTCGTTCGGGGAGCTGCTTATCGCAGAGTTCAGGAAGAAGAGACGGGTGGAGTTCAGGAAGATGTTCCAGCTTCAGCCAGGGGCCCGCCTGCACAGCAGCTGGGGGGTCATCATGCACGATGATCTAGAAGGGCAGCCAGCAGGCCGATTCATGAAAACCAGCAGGGGCGTCCCCATCTTTTTCCGGCGTGCCAGTCTCGAAGACTACGTGCTGCATATGAAGAGAGGACCTGCCATCTCCTATCCAAAGGTAAATGCCGCAGGTAAAGATGTTTAAAGCAGAAAAGTTAAATTGTGTGTAATATCTTAAATCTGTGTGTCCTTGCGTTGTTAGGATGCTGCCAACATGCTGCTGATGATGGACGTTATGGAGGGAGACTGTGTGCTGGAGTCAGGCTCCGGGTCTGGAGCAATGTCCCTGTTTCTGTCCAGAGCAGGTCTGCATGGCTCGCTCCACCAAGTTTAATAACCTTTACATTTTACAGCCTTTTTATCCTCATTTCCAGTTTGCAACATCAAGCTTTACCAAAATAAGAGTTAAGCATAATTGTGAAGTAGAATGAAAGGTTTCTGTTTTGTTTTTCTAACTAAATCTGTGAGATGTGACGGGGATATTTATTAAGCAATGCATGCAGAACCAAGTCAGAAAATAATTAGAATAAAGCAACCTCTGTGTTTTTTGGATATACTCCGTAATCTGATGTCCTCTGAAGACTTTAAAGGTGTTTTAGAGAACAAACGGCCTCTCAAAGGTCCAAGGAACACAGCGGAAAGGTAACGGGGGAGGAAATAGTGAGGAAGTTTAAACCAGGGTTAGGTTATAAAACCAAATCCCAACCAGAGGTGGGCAGAGTAGCAACAACATGTACTCAAGTAAAACTAGCAGTACTTATACAAATATTCACATGAGTAAAAGTGAAAAGTAGCTGTCCAATAAATAACTCAGGTAAAAGTAAAAAACAATTAAAAATTAACACTAAAATAATGTTAATGTAACAGACCGTAATATAAAGTGACACACAGATTCCTTTTGTTTTAAAGTCTTAAGGAAAGTAATGAATTCAAATCATGTAAATATACTGAAAAAAATTGGACAATAAATATTTCTTCATGTATATGACGTAAGTATGTAAAGTATGCATGACAGAAGAGTGTAAAATACCTCCAGGGACAGAATGTACTTTTCAGTGTATATTACCTTAAGCTCCATGTCATAGTCTGGGCAGTTAAAAGTAAAATTATAAAACAACAAAGATGGAAAAAAATAATGTTAATTTGAGTGAAAATGAAACTAAAAGTGTAAATTCTTTTTTCTTTGGTAAAGTTACTCATATTAGGTAGAGCAGCCAAAGATTTTACTCAAGAGTAACGAAACCTCATGATATTACTTAAGTAAAAGTAAAGAGTTTGGAGCAGTAAAACTACTCCTAAAAGTACATTTTGATTAAAGTTACTCAAGTAAACGTAGGTAGTTACTGCTCACCCCTGATCCCACGCCTTAAACATCTGACTGAGCAGGTTTCAGTTGATCTTCTGACACACGGCCAGCGTCCTTTCCCAATGAGCTGGAAGGACGCCGTCAGCTTCAGCTCGGAGAATCGATGAACACAAAATCTGTTATTGGCGAAAGCCTGGAGTCACATTTATGTAGTTTAAATTCACACAAACCGAGACCTGAAGCTGGGAAATGCTACTTTCAACGCAAAGTTTGTGATCTCATAAATACTAATATTCCTAAATGTGCGGTCCCTCCCTCACGCCATCTCTGATCCATGTGTGCACGTTTAGGAGGAAAGGGTTCGGTTCAAGGAGCATAAATGAAATCCCAAGAATTAAGCATTGTTTGTAAAAACATTAGCGCCATATTTAATTTTTTACCGCATTATTAAACTCCATGTGTCACATTTATAAAGTGATAGATGGAGATAAAAAGCAACTTTCTGGGAATTTATTCAGTATTTATAATCTGACCCAACTCTATGATTAAAAATGAGCCTCATTCAACATTTTGAAGTTCTGTTTTTCCTCCAGTTGGTTCTAAAGGTAGCGTTCTGAGCGTGGAGGTCCGGGAGGATCATCACAGAAGATCGTTAAAAAACTTTGAGCGCTGGAGGACGTCCTGGGCTCTGCGACGAGGCCAGGAGTGGCCGGAGAACGTAGAGTTTCAGAACGCCGACCTCTGCACAGCCTCGTCGCTCCTGGCTGGACGAGGTTTTCACTCGGTCAGTCTCTGCGCTGTTGTGCTTTTTAACGTTGGTTTGTCATGAAAGAGCAGCTCGTTCATCTCAGGCCTCGTCTCTGTTGCAGGTTGCTCTGGACCTGATCCACCCCCACCTGGTTTTGCCCGTCGTGCTGCCACACCTGCATCCTGGAGGCGTGTGCGCCACTTACCTCGCAAAGTGAGTAGCAGTTTTATAAGCATCAGATTTTAAAACATATAAAAGATATTTTAAATATACCATTTGTTGTATTTTTGAAAAAACAAAACAAACTGCTCTGTCAAGACAAGAATGAAGTATCAACATAGGGCAAGTAGGTACAAATGGCTTTATTATTATTTAGGTCAAGGAAAGGATGAAAACTGGTCTTTATCAGAATCTACAATAATTTAAAGGTAACATATTATAAAATAGTTACATTATAAAGATTTTATAACAGTCATACAGGATTTATACCAGAATGAGAAACTCTAATTTAATGCTTTTTAATGCTCTTTCAGATAATTTTAATTCCATCAACAAATACCAATGACCCTCATATATATATATATATAAATAAAATCCTTTGTCATCTCTTCGGCTGTCCAGGATTCCTCGTTTTTCAGCCACTTTGGTTGAAATTAGCATTTTTTCATTCTCTAGCTTTTTCTCCGCCTCAAGCATCTTTTTCAAGCATACGGCTTTACGATCAACCGGAAGCAGTTCCGCGGAAATATCCCGATATATCTGATAAAATTGTTTTTATAAATGTATTTTTTTTAATTTTTAAATTAAGCATTTTAAATGTCACAATAATCACATTTAATTACTTTTATAATTTTTAATGACCCACAGAAACCCTTTGAGGTTCACAAATGGAAAAAAAAGCCTCACTATCATTGCCTTCCTCCACCTTTTTAGCAAATGTGAGCTCAAAATGGTGTCTTGGAAATCATTCCCCTTTTGATGTCATAAGGAGAAATAAGCTGTCAAGTGTGTTCTGTAGCAGCCCATCAGTCATCTAATGTAATATTCCACATTCCTAAGCTATCTTTATGAAATCAGACTGGTTTTTCGCGGTTACGTTTGCAGGGCGCAGAAATCAAGAGAATAGGGAAAGCTAAAACGGCTCGTCTAATGGAGGACTGCGTAAACAGCAAAAACACGCTCTGGGAGCCTCATTAATATTTTCAAATGTAGAATATGGGACCTTTAAATGTGCTCCTTTATATAATTTTAAGCAACAAATATTTTTGGATAGAAAAAACTAATTTGTTTGTTACTCCTTTAAATATAACCTGAGAAAAAAGTACAAATATAATTTCTGTTTTTGTAGAATTTTATAGTTAAAGTAGCAAAGAAGTGAAAAAGCATTAGAGTGTAAACTTGACTTCCTCTGTTTGAAGAGTTGCTATAGTGTTGAACAACGTAAAGGCAGACATCAGCAACTGGTACAGACATCTGGAAAGGGATGGAAGGCCTTTTTAAACCCTCTAAATGTACCATACAGTGTGGAGATGACATTCAGAGAAGGAAACCATTGAAGACAGCTGCTGATATTCCTACAGGTGGACATTACTGAAAATTCACCTCTGTAATGCTAAAAAAAAAAAAAAAAATATTTAAGCCTCTATAGGGCACTCGGTGGAGTACTTTGAAAATCAATTGTTTCATTGGAATTCAGGATAAGAGCTTATTACCTTTGTAACATTCAAAAAATACAAATATTTTGATGGAAAAAAATAAGTTCAATGTAATAACAAGAAACACCAACTTACCCAAATATATTAAGAAAAATAACAGAAGTGTTTCTAGAAGAAATTCATGAAAAACACTGCATTTTTTATACAATGTAACCTTAGAGGTATTTACAGAAGAGGATTAGGGCCACTGAAAAAAAAAGTAAACTGATTTTGAAATTTTATTTCAGTTTAGTATGGGAAAAATTTCAGAATTCTGAGATTAAAGTCAGAATTCTGACTTTTTTCTCAGAATTCTGACTTTTTTCTCAGAATTCTGAGATTAAAGTCAGAATTCTGACTTTTTTCTCAGAATTCTGACAGCTAACAAACATGTTAGCATCAAGCCGTAGCCATGTCTGTTTTAGAGACTAGCTCTCTTGTTTCAATCACCTTCTGCTCCTCCATTAATGAGTAACTCTCATCTTTGTCAGTGAAGCTGAGTGCTTCACATCTCTGCCTTCATGGGGCCCATCTACATTAAAATCCAAAATTCTGAGGAAAAAGTCAAAATTCTGAGATTAAAGTCGGCATTCTGACTTTTTTCCAATACTAAATTGAAATAAAATTTTAGAATCAGTAAACTTTTTTTTTCCAGTGGCCCTAATCCTCTTCCGTAGGTATTAATGCTGATACTGGCACTTATATTTTTTTAGTATATAAACCTAAATAAAATTGTTAACTAGGCTTATTAACCTTTTAACTCTGCTTTTTAATTTATTATTTGGCTTTTTACCTTTTTTCTTTTCTTGTTAACTTAATTCAACTTAATTTACAGTAGATTTTATATTATTCAAGGGTTCATCTAATTGGTCAAATATCAAAATCAGATGTAGAGCCATGTAGCAGGATCTTTGCTGAAGGGCTGGATATAGATCTGGTGCTTCTAGACCTCACTGAGGGACTGGGGGGGGCTCAATTTGTAAGGGGTATGCAAGTGATTAAAAACGCTAACTTAAAGGCTTAAAAGATAAAACCAAAGTAGAGATACTTGGTCATCAAGACAGCAACATGTTTGAAATAAACCAAATGCAGAATATTGGCAGAAGCACGGTAGTGGAAGAATGATGATTTACCGCCTGTTTTTCAGCCACAGTATCTGCAGTTATTCAAGGTGCGAAGTACTCTAGTGAAATGTGAGTCCGTCAATCAGCTGAAGTTTGATTCTGACTCTGTCATCAGTGAGATGATGCCAAAAACCTCAAAGTTAGTAAAAATCCAACATTTCGACATGTTTGAAATGCTGGAGGGTGAATTTGAGATCGCTGAGCAAAACATGTCTGTTAACTTTAATGAAGCAAAGAGTGGTTTCCACTCCAGGAGGTTCTACAACTTATTCACTTTTTTATTTGAAGCAGTTCATGTACAGGAGCTGAATTCTCTCTTTTTCAAAGTATAACGCAGGTCATTGATCTGCTGGAGGGTCTCCGGTGTTCTGAGCTTCCTTTTCTGTGTGAACGCATCGTTGAGGTTCCAGTCCGGGACTGGATGGTGGCCCCCGCCCTGCAGAAAGATGGACAATACTGCGCCAGGAAAGCTCCAGACCTGGGCGAACCTCTGAGGAGCGAAGAGGAAGCTTCAGTTGGAGCCGATGAAGGTAAGTGTGAATAATAAAGAGCGTTTAATTTAAAAGCTCTTGCTTTCATTTCTCTCTCTCCTTAAATGTGTTATTCAGAGGACGGCGTGGGGCCAGCGTTTGGCAGCGTTCCATATATTGCCAGACCTCATCCCGAACAGATGAGCCACACAGGTCAGAGCCAGGTCAAAGATCAGCATCCATTTAATGTTTGGTGTCACTTATCATACCTTATTTTTTATTTTTTCAGCATTCCTGGTTAAACTGAGGAAGTTTGTGAAATAGCTGGAGCCACTGAAGACCCCTGGAAACTAACGATTATTTAAGAGTTAAATAAAAAGTAAAAAACTGATGCAAATAAGAATCAGTGTTTCTCTTTTTCATCAAACAATTTAGAATTTAAACAATAAAACAGATGATTTACGGACAGAAATGAAAGGATGGCAATAAAATATAATAGATTGATGAGCAGAGATTAGATTTTTAGATGCATCGTGGGACAAATTGATGGAAACTTAATGGATGAAATAACTGACAGCTGGAGGAGCAGATGATGGATGGATTCCATCATTCTCACTAACTGTTTGAGAGAATTATAAAAATAAAAAACGCTTTATCACCACAAACAAAAACAGCATTGAGACGAATGTTAGTTTAGATTTGTATTCTCAAACTCAGACAGCACTGGCTCATCCTAAAGTCACAACCAGAGAAAAACCCACAAGATTTCCCCGTCAAACCTACATGCACCTCAAGGTGGACAAATTGCACAAACATCCCATGTACTAATAAGTTAAATAAATACTGTAAATAAATAGAAACAATCTTTACAGAATATGCTCATAAACACCAACAACTCATTTCATATTAACTTGTGTGGAAGTCAGTGTGTTTCCTTTAGATCATCAATAAGCAGAAGATTCAGAGATATAAAGAATAAAGATTACTGCAAAGAACGGCAGCGTCTGTAGAAAGGAACAGGATGAACCAGCAGGGTTTGGATTCCATCTACATCTCGCTGATCCAGTCTATAAAGGGATCACTGGATGAAGCCGCCCCTATCCAAGAGAAAAGGATGAAAATAGATGAGGACAATTTAACAACTTAATCCAGTTATTTTTTGAAAAACAACTTATGTACAGAAATATAAGAAAAAAGAACAAGTTTATTTATATTAAACATAAACTGAATTCAGGTTATTTTACCACATCGACTCAATCAATTGGAAATAATTCAGCCTAGTGATGGTTCATGAGGTTTCCACACATTCATACTGTCTCACAGAATACTGACACCTGCTGGAGCTTTAAAGACACTACAGGCAGTTTATGTGAGACTAAACTGAATTGCTTTGATGACCTAGAACAATGATATAATTTGAGTTACTGTAGGTTATATTGTATTATTTCATATGATTAAATTGAAAATATCTATTTTTAGATGCAGCCAATAAAAAATGTAAACATGTAGCCTATCATAACGTGAACATTTAAGGGAAAATGTGAATGAGGATGCTTGTGAACGAGGTTTTTAAATAATAAGTACAGTAAAAAAAAAAGCAAATAAACTAAGAGTCAATTTGAAGTTAAGTTAAGTGATAACTGAGAGGAAAAGAATGACACGAGAAAGTTAAAACGAAACCTTATTCCTTTTAGGCTTCTCCCAAATTTTTGATAAATTTAATGATAAACCGCTAAAGATGAGATCATTTTTTAGCAGATGCATCATGTTGACAGATACGTTTTTAAACACTGCTCAGTGTATCTGTCAGTTAGAAACATCTCCTGTATCGGTCACATGACTTTGTTGAAACGACACCAGCACCGGTGCAGCGTTTTGCAGTGACGCATGCACCGACTCATTAGTGTTGCTGAACCTATCACTAATTCAGCTTTCACTTTTCCACTCAGGGGGGAAAAAAAACACAAAACAAACATTTTGCATCTGATCTGACAGAAAATCGCTTTGGACGAGGCTATGGTGTTTAGCCCTCATTGAAAGTCAATGGGGATGATCGCACACAATTTTACTTATGGGGGGGCCTGCGTAGCTCCGGCTGAGATGGAACCCAGGTCTATTTAAGGGGTCAGGCTCAGTCGGACTACGCAGCAATACAAAATAAAATCTGTAAATCGCACAGGGACAGAGACAGTTTTGGAGTCCTACATTTGGTATGTAGTAAGCAGGACAGACTCGTCATAAAAACAATGAACAAAACATAAAAAAATGATAATGAACAATGATAGAAATTGAGGACAGAAAATGGATAGTGATCCTCTTTGAGCTTTGCTAAAACAAATGGGCCAGAAAACGCAGTTTATCAATCACCTAACAAAAAAAAAAAAAAAAAACAGGAGAAACAACTGATAAAGTAAAATAGTGATCCTTTTTGAGCCTCACAAAAAAAATAAATAAATAACGAGGGTCAGACAGAGCAGCGTATCTCTCAGCTCTTTATGAAAAACAGAAAGAAATGCTTCGATAAACTTCCCTCATCTCTCTCTGAGAATCCTCTCTCTGCCTCAGTCAGCATATAAACCGCCCAGTCGTGTTTATTGCTTTTTTCTTTTCTTTAGACGTAGATCTCATTGTTTTTAATGTCGGCATATGAACATCTATCTGTTCTGGTTTGAGATGCTGCACAGACTCGTCGAGTGAGGCTTTGCTTTATAGCTGTGCCGGCCTTTTTTTTTTTTTTCATAATCTGTTCAAGTCAAATGTGGGAAATTGTTAATAATTTGTGTATAGCACAGAGAAAGAAGTGAAAAAAACTAGTCATAACCTCCCTGTAAACAGTCAGTTAAAGGGGTGTGACTGTTTCTCTGGAGGTGGGCAGGTTTTGCGTTGTTTGGGGCGATGACTGAAAACCATCAGATTCAGTAACCTTGTGTAGCAGACGTCCTCAGGCCGGGTCACACCTGTTGGCTACAACTTTTTAACTACCAATCCGACTTAGTTCCCCGTCACACTGGCAGTGTAGAGTTCTCAGACTTTGCAGGGTGAGCAGATCCCAATATGTTTAAACACAAAGCAAAGCCCCACTTCATGACCAGACGGATCAAATCAGAACAGAGGATTGTAACAGGCATAAATTAGAAACATAATGGGAACTACAGTTGAAGAAAAGGAAAGCGCAGCGATAAAGGGCTGATGGATGGTTTATATGGATATAAACCTATTTTCTGTCCTTGTGAAGTTTGTTGGTTTTTCTTTTTTTCTCCCGTGGAGATTGAGAAGCTGCGCTTTCTATTGTCCCTCGTTTTTGCGAGGCTCAAAGAGGATCACTAATTTATTCGTTTTCTGTCCATCTGATCTCCTATCATAAGTAAAGTTCTGTTTTTTTTTTTAATTTTATCAATTGTTTTTGCCCCAGTCTGCTTTATATGAGCTCTGTGACTCCAAACCCTTTTTTTCCTCTTGCGATTGACAGATTTTATTTAGTGTTGTCCCTCAGAGCAGACAGGTTTTACTTTGTAACTGCGTCTCTCTTCCTGCCAGACCCATGAAATTGCCGCTAAATTGCTGCGTAGTCAAAATAAAATAGACCTGAGGTCTCTCTCAGTCGGAGCTATGCAAGTCCCCTGCAGAAAATGGCGTCGGCTGAGATCATCCCCATTGATTTTCAATGAGCGATAAACGCCATGACCTCGGATGACATGATTTCTCTCGGACGGGATGCAAAATCGGATTTGTTGTGTTCAGAGCTTTGGCGGTTGGTATTAGTTTCCACTATTTCTTGTCTTCTATCTGCTTAACTGTTTAAAAGCAGTCTATCTAACAATAAAATAACATTTTGGGTTAGTGGCGCCCACCACTGATGATCAGTATTAGCTTTACTGCCATATTTTGGTCACAGCATTGGAAGGGTAACAACACTGGGTATAAACGTATGCACAACAATACAAGTGTGCATTTATTTACTGTTATATGTAAAGAAGAACAAAAAAAAACTTTTGATATTTAAGATATTCTTGCGCAGCTTTACAGCTGAGTTTTCAGGCAGTTTACTGGGTCTATAGTCAGACTTACTTGGAAGCTCTTCAGCGTAGAAGCTACACGATTCTTGAGCCCCAGTTTTCTTCTCCTCTGCTTTAGCGGTTCTGGGTGGTGTCAGCTCAAACGTAAAGGCAGGAGCGAACGGGTTCAGGCTGCTGTTGCTCGTGGTCTGTGCAGCCGGGCGGCTGGAGGAGATGTGATGTAACCTGCTGCCAGAGATACAGAGGGCGCAGGAAAGCGGGGAGGCGGAGGGGCCGCGTGGAAGACGGACGGCTCCTTGTGCGGTATACTGCCTCAGGGCGCCGCTGTGGTGAACGGAGCGCTGCCGCTGCCACACAATGTGGGAAGGCACGATGGCCATCACCTGTCAACAACACAAATATCAGACTCGGGTATAAAGTCAAAAAAAAGGTTATGAGAAAATACACTACAATCAAACGCTTTCATCCACTGATCAGTATTAATGTTAAATGATGTAGATCTGCATTTCATAGAGCTTGGAAGGTTGTGAGTTAGAGCCCCACCCCACAGACTGCCACTCTGGGTCCCTGAGCAAGACCCTAAACCCCACACTGCTCCCCGGGCGCCGCACAATGGCAGCCCACTGCTCCCCAAGGGGAGGGGTTAAAAGAGGAGGTACATCAGACCAATAAAGTTCAATTATTATAAATTATTATTATGTCCATGTTAATTGATTTAATTTTCTAAAGAACTTTGACCTAAATCATATTAATAAGGATTAACTTTTCAATATAAAGACAGATCTATATAGTGTCCTTTAATAAAAGAATAAAATATTTTCACAACACTCTTATTTCTACCTTTATAAACCTTTTAAAGTTTATTGCCTAGTAAACTTTCCTACCAGCACTAACAGACGGCACCGCAAAGATGCCACAACCACCTGGAAAACAGCTTTCAACATCAGGAATAGCGGCACTAAGTCTCCTCGGATTAACGACTCTCTAATTCATGCCTCATTTATTTAAATGATTAACTTGATTAAAGAAATGTTTTATTATTAAAGAAACAAAAAAAATATCTCGTATTGTTGTCTTTCCCAATTTAAACAAATTAAATTTGACACGGTTGGGTTTTCCAACAGGACAATAAACCCTCAAAACTGGTTTTCAAGTTTTAAAAGTAGGAGAGCATCATTATTTAGGAACAGCCTGAACAGTCTGCCCCCAGTGGGCCTCAGCAGATGGCCGCTCACACTGAGCCTGGTTCTGCTGGAGGTTTCTTCCTGTTCAAAGGGAGTTTTTCCTCTCCACTGTCGCTACAAGCATGCTTAGTGTGAGGGATTGCTGAAGAGTCAATGAGTCGATGCAATCAGCTGGTTTTCTTTGAATATAAAACGTTAAATCAATCTGACTGGATGATCTGGTCGAACGTCTCTGTAAAGTGCTTTGAGATTAAAGTTGTTGTGAATTTGTGATCTATAAATAAACCGAACTGAACAGAACTGAAAATAAACAAACAGATTTAAATGAACTACATCAGAAAGAGAGGTTAATATCTAGTTGGTGCTATCTAATTAACTTAAATGACAAGAAAAAGTTGGGCCTTTTTCTGCAATCTGCTAAAAGACATTTTAACAAAAATATTAATGGAGATCATTCTGGAAAACATAAAACAGCCAGTGTGATCATCTAACACATTTGGATAATTCAATCAATCTAAATATAACAGGGTTTATAGAGGAATGAGAAACTCTAACTTAATGCTTTTTAATGCTATTTTATATGGAGGATCAACTCTGCCATATTTCAAAATAAATACAGAAATAAATAAATGCTCAATAAATAAGCAGGCAATTAATTGCCACCAAAAATACAATAAAAAAAATAAATGTAAGTAGAAATTAAATTATACAGTGAGACATAAATGTATATAACTCTTTTAATTAGCTTCTTTATTTTTTTGCCTTTGTAATATTTACCTTATTTATTTTTTCGTCCTTTATAATCTTCAACTTTATTTTTTAATTGTTTTTATTTTTAAGTATTTATTTAAGTGCATGTTATAATATTTTTGTCTGTTTTATTCTTCCTTTGTATTTTTTTACCCTAGTTATTTCTTCGCCGCTATTTATTTCCGTCTGCCCTTTTTACATTTCTGCCTGCCCTTACATGTCTCACTGTATCATTTAATTACTACTTATATTTATTTGTTTATTGTATTTTTGGTGGCAATTAATTGTATGCTTATTTATTTATTGAGCATTTATTTATTTCTGTATTTATTTTTAAATATGGCAGAGTTGGTCCTCCATAATTTTAATGCTCTTAGGAATTAAGAAAAGCACAGCTAAATCCTTCGTCATCTTTAGCATCGACAGGCTGCAGCAATGTCCCGAATTCCTCGTTTTCCAGCCACTTTTATTGAAATGTGCATTTTTCCATTCTTTAGCTTTTTCTCTGCTTCGAGCTTCTTTTCCGCCACATACGTATTTATGATGATATACGTACAAATATATCACGATATAATAGATCTGACGAAATTTTTTTAAATAAACTTTTTTTTTTCTTTATATAAAGCATTTTAAATGCCACGATAATCACATTTAATGAATTTTAATGCCAATTAAGGTCTTCATAATTTAATGACTTTTAATGACCCGTGGGAAACCTGTATAACAATGGAGGAATATTTTGTATCTGTAATATGCAATAAAGGAATATTTTGGTGAGCAATAACCTTTCTACTGAAAGGAAAATTCCGGTTTTTAACACTTTTAGCCCATTTTCTGTAGTGTCCAGGATGAAATCGAATGATCGGCACCAAAATTTTGACGATTGGTCCTGTCTCT